CGCTGTTAATATCATTGCCAGCGCCATTGATGCTTCCAAAAGCGCTTGTACCATTGTTGATAATGCCTCTGCGAGCATTAGTGGTGCTTCCGATAGCACCTGTACCGCTGTTGATGATACCCTCGCGAGCAGTAGTGGTACTTTAGATAGCGGTTGTGCCAGTGCTGATAATTTCTTCGTGAACAATTATGGTACTTCTGATAGCGCATGTTCGTATTATGATGCTTTTGGTAACCATAGTAGTGCTTTTGATAGTGCTTATAACAGCGTTCATAATGCCTTCGCCAACAACTATGGTGCTTTTGGTAATCCTTGTACGGTTGTTGCTACTGCTCCTACTTGCTTTAGTGGTGCTTTCGATACCGCTTTTATCAATGTTAATAATGCTTTTCTTGGCCAGTTTGAACCGTTTTTAATAGTTCTGGGAGATTGTCTGAGAAACGTGCCAAAAGCAGTTTGAAATCCACGAACTCATGAGCATGACAGCACCCTTTTTGGGAAGTTTAAAATTTTTAACTGATATTCTTTTACATCGAAAAAAAAGTTTGTATTGACGACTAAAAGCCCAGAGTGCACATGGGCCTGAGTAGCTTTGCATAGCTTGCGATTCGTTTTGGTCGTATCGAGGGTGCCTGTCAATGTAAATAGCATTACTGGTAAGCTAACACTTCTCCATATAGCAGTGCATGTCCAGTACAAAAGCAGTTACATGTTGTTGTTTGTATTTTGTTGTCATTGTGTTGTTTGTAAATCAGTGATACTGTGAAGAGTTGTACGCCGCTGTTGTGCGGTGGATTTTCCCGGGATCTTTCCAAGTTCTCGTTTTTGCCCGTACCGCATCCAAGAATTTGATTAGCTTAACGAATTTCCATTATTGGGAAGGAACGGAATTCGTTAAGCTAATCAAATCTCTGGACTATGGATACGCGTACGATTTACGAACTGTATGTATTTGTGGATACGAAACGTGTTTTTGAGCTCACATTGGCAATGCACAATGGCGAGCTTCATTTGTTACTTAGTTCTGTATAGAAATAAAAACTTCTGTAGAACGCTGGAAATTAAAATGACACTCGTTTTTTTACGTGGATTTTTGAGGGAAGGACGGATGCATTTGGAAAGCATTTTGCCTGATTTTCCCGATTTTGTGTATTACCACAGAAATCCGACTGGCGTTACTCAACGAGAATCCTTTCGGGTTTCTTGCCATATTTTTCCACATGGGCCCAGAAATCAATATCCTCAATGAGCTGCTGAATGAAACTCTAAATTCAGGATTTACTGAAGTGGTGCTTGAGTTCTTAACTTAGTTATGGTGTCCTTGACGCTGAAGTAGAGAATTCCATTTAAATTAAAACCTAACGCAAGGTTGCTTTATTCAAAGTCCAGTCCCGAGCAAAGGCATTTATGTCGCTGACTTACAAGATGATTTTTTTTCCGGTCTTGTGCTTACGTGTTTTAATTTGACGGGGTGAATGTTAGAATCGCTCAAGGGCTAACTGACCGCTTCTGTAGTCGATGCAGCAGTGGTCAGTGCAGCTGATAAAATTATCATTTACATAGTTGGTGAGCAAGACTGTGATTGATAGCTTTTCCACGTATGGTTTAATTACAAGAGAATTTAGCCATCTTGTAGTGGTGAATTGTACCTGGTGGTCTCATTTCGGTGAAGTGACTCGATTCTGCAGGGGAACCCAGTTCTGCAGTTATTATACGTTTTGTATTGTGTAACAGCAGTACAAAACGCATATTGTTACGGGGTTGTCTGTGTGTGTGTTTGTGCGTGTGTTGTGTGTTTGTTGTATGCGTTTGTGTCCGCAGCAACTTG